CCCGAGGAGTCTGCGCTGGTTCAGAGACCGGCACCAGCGCTAGAGGGACTCCTGAAAACTACTGGAAAGGCGAAGAAGATCGGATCAAGAGGCATCATTTAGGGTAAGTCCTTAAAGGGGGGGTGACTTTAATGTCCCTTTAAACTCAGTTTTTTTTATAATGATGAGTTCAAATCAAAAAATTTACCTTGCCCGACATAGATAGGAAATCCCTCCAAAGTGAGGGTAACCCCAGGTGGTCACCAGAACTCGTGTCCCCATCTATTCCTGTTCTGATGGCAACCCAAAATGTGGGATTTTCTTTCCCTTTCATAACAGGGATAACAGTCACTAGTAGGCATACACCGATACTAGTATCCGTATCGGTGCCGATTCCGAGTATTTGGGCGAGTACTCGTCCAAATGCTCCGATGTCTAGCCCGATACTTCAGCTTCCGGTATCAGTAAGCCAGGCAGCGAGTCATTACAGCCGGCTCCTTGCTCCCTCGTCACGTGTGACTCCCTGCTGCCCAGGGGCCGGGCCTTGGTTGGCCTTGTGGGAAATCCGGCCCTGATCGCGAATTGGGATCATCTCTATAAATACGGACACACGTTGGGCACTTGTATTCCCCCCCCTTCCCGGGAATGCCCCCGGTGGAGGGTTGTCATGTGACATCGGGGAAGTGGGTACAGAACCGTGCATTGACTCACGCAGGGGCCCGATTTGTAATGCCGGCATCACACCTGATATACATATATATATCGCCATATGATTCAGCGCCATCGAAAAAAACACAGCACGGGGCTAAAACCGGCAGCAGCTGGCCATGTGTGATGGATGATCCTCGTCCAATGTGGCTGGTTATTAATTGATTGGTCAACCAGTGTCACCTATGGGGCATGAGGATCCGGATTCATCATCAGGAGATATAAAAGATACAAAGTAATGCAGCTCTGGAATCATTGATACATCATTACATACAAGCAGTGCAAGTACCGGAATGTTACCTGGTGTCAGCCTCTTGAGTCCCTGTACAGCAGAGCTCAGACTGGGAGAGGGTGAAGCAGCACCAGGCACCAATCCAAGTTATAAAAGCCATCAGTCTGCTGCAGGCAGGAGAAAGTATTTCCTCTGTCTCCTCTCCCACAATGATCAGTCTGCTGCAAGCAGAAGGAAGCAGTTAGGCAGGAGTTAAAGGAGAACTATGGGGTCAGTGCTTTTCCCCATAGTTCTCTTTAGGGTCACGGGAGGACACAAACTAGCGTCCTCCCGTCACCCAAAGTCAGTATATAGCGAGCAACAGCTCTCTGTATACTGAGAACGCCGCAGCCGGGACGGATCCCAACATTAATGTTGAGATCCACCCAGCTGCGTGAGTGACAGCTGGCTCTGCCTATCTAGGGGGCGGAGACAAGACCAGTCACCCTGCACAAGGAGAGAGCAGCAGTGAGCGATCTTTATTATAGGAGGGGGTGTAGACAGGACCAGTCACCCTGCACATGGAGAGTGAGCAGCAGTGACCGGTCTTCATTACAGGAGGGGGCAGGGACAAGACCAGTCACCCTGCACAAGGAGAGAGAGCAGCAGTGAGCAGTCTTTATTACAGGAGGGGGCGGAGAAAAGACCAGTCGCCCTGCACAAGGAGAGAGTAACAATGAGCGGTCTTTTTTACCGGAAGCTCCTCACACTGGATTTCTGCACGGATCTGGAAGAAATACACAAAGCTCACCAAGAGGAATACACAGGACTCTGGTATGGGGACAATATCTACTTATCCTGGAGTTCAGCTTTAGAATGTTCTATATGATGTTCTGTTCTTTGGTGGAATTCGGGGGGAAGATCCTCTTACTCTTCACACATAAGGACAGTGACATCATCTCAGAGTCTCACTCCTAGTGTCTCTCCGTCCACTTGTTGACAGTTTTACATGCCTACCCTGCGACCCCTACAACCCCCCCCCCCCACCAGTAAAAGTGAGGAAGTGATAAATGATAAATATCCAGTTTCATTGGCCGCGGGTGACATGTTTTACTGGCCAGTAAAATCAAACATTAGTGCTGAAACACAAACAGTGACCTCAAACAGAGGAGCCCCGCCATTTCTACAAGGCAGCTATACAAATAAAGCCCGATGCACTAGCTAGTGCACAGCAAGGAGCTCCTCAGCTTCATCTAGTGGCCATACTGGGGTATTACATTACATTACACTCAACAAAGAAAATACACAAAGAACGTTCACATTTCCCTCTATTCACACAGAACAAACGTTCAGAGAGGTTTGGAGGGCGAATGGCTCTGCAAATTGTTTATTACCAGTGCAGTGATCTGTATGAATAGAGGCAAAAGTGAATGTTCACAGCATAATTTCTTTTAAGGTTGAGTGTAATGTAATACCCTATTATGTCCAGTAGATGGAGCTGAGGAGCATAAAAAACATGTGTTTCCTATGCTCCTCACTGCCATCTAGTGGTCATATTGCGATATCAGTCTGCCGCTCTTCCAGTCGCAGTGTGGGGAGGAAGCCTGTAAGTAACTATAACTGAACTGCAGCAAAGGTGAAAAAAATCAGGTCTCCGGCCCTGCCGCACGACTGGCAGAGATGTGTAAATCTCAGAACTCGATTGACAGTAACCCATTACAAGCAATTGTTATATATCAGGAAAGTCCTGTTGACCCACTCAGCTGCTGGCGGGCAGAGTTTCTACAGTCTGGGATGGGGAGGCGAACTGTTAAGGAGTCCTTTTTTTTCTACTTTTCATCATTGCTAGCAAATCTGCAAATAATCAGGAGCGAATCAGGAGCATCAGCAAATGAACATGAACTAATCTCTCTGTCACTCTGCTCCCTCCTCTTATGGGGGTACGGCCGCATATTCCCATAGAGAAGGACAGGGGCTGCGTACTAATCGTACGCAGCACCTGTCCTTCCCGGGAGCGGCCCAATACAGAGCTATATGTGCCAGCCGATTCCTGTGTGAATGAGGCCTCTAAATATACTTTATTTATGATTTTTCTCATATTTATAATGTGGCTTTGATCAAACCTTCACTGGTGGTGAATCAGTCATGGTAATTTAAAACACATGCACCAGGAGGATTCACTCGCAGTGAATATCAGTTTAATCTCTTTAGGAATATACACCTACATTCTGTATTTAAAATGCAACAGAACTTTTTTCAGTTGGGAATAGAGTAGAGAGGGATTAGAATCCCTGTCAGGTTTTTATGGGTGTCTGTGTCCCCCGTTAGGGAGATTCACCTTCTCTTTTTGTCCTGGTGACCGTTATAGCGGAGTATGTATTATATAATTGTCAGTGAATGGACTGAGGATCAGCATTGCCCCAGGCAATTGGCATTTTTTGGGAAGAATGCAGCAATGATTTTGCAGCAATGATTTTCATGATTATTACTGGAATACCGACATTCACCGACAATTCACTGCCTATTGCTTGAGAACAGCGGGCCTTATTCTTTTTTCAGTCATGGCACCCTTAAAAGTTATACAAAATCCGGAGGCACCCCAGTCTTAAATGAAAAAATGCCATGTGCCACCCAACCCCCCTGAAAATGTATTCCGGACCCGTATACTAGATAGGGGTCTGGTATTAGGGGGGAACCCCGTGCAAAAACACAAAGAAAATTGAGGTTTCCCCCCTTTTCCATCAGGGTGAGACCCTCTCACACTAGGAGCCCATCTTCACATCAGAAGCCCCCTTCTCATTAGAGTCCCCCTTTACATCAGGAGCCCCCTCCCCTCCTTTCACATCAGAGTACCCCTTATCACACTAGGAGCCCCTTTCTACATCACAGTCCCCATTTACATCAGGAGCCCCCTCCTTTCCCATCAGAGTCACACCCTCTCACAATAGGAGCCCCTCTTCACATCAGAAGCCGCCTTCTCATTACAGTCCCCGTTACATCAGGAGCCCCCTCCCCTCCTTTCACATCAGAGTCCCCCTTTACATCAGGAGCCTCCTCCTTTCACATCAGAGTACATCAGGAGCCCCCTCCCCTCATTTCACATCAGAGCACCCCTTTACATCAGGAGCCCCCTCCCCTCCTTTCATATCAGAGTCACCCCTTTACATCAGGAGCCTCCCTTTCTTTTAGGAAGCCCCTCCTTTCACATCAGAGTCACCCCTTCTCACACTAGGAGCCCCTTTCCACATCACAGTCCCCATTTACATCAGGAGCCCCCTTCTTTCACATTAAAGTCACACCCTCTCTCACACTAGGAGCCCCTCTTCACATAAGAATCCCGCTTCTCATGAGAGATTCCCTTTACATCAGGAGCCCCCTCCTTTCACATCAGAGTCAACCTTTTACATCAGAGTCACCCCCTCTCACACTGGGAACCCCTCTTCACACCAGAATCCTCCCTCTTTCACATTAGGGTCCCCCTCTTTCACACCGAGAGCCCCCCTTCCCCTTCACATCAGAGGCACAATGCTGTGTGAAAACTTTGAGACACCCCTGAGGAAGCCATGGGGCACCCCAGGGTGGCATGGGTTTAGAAAGGGCTGCCTTGGAACATTAAAGAGGTTCCTTCACGTTACGGGACATGTGCTCAGCCGTGCCAGCAGCTGATACTTCATACTTCACACTACAACATACAGCACATATCATGGTACCTCCTCTTTCCACGTTCTTTGGGTTCCTAGTTGATATGCGAATTTGGAAAGCACGACAATGGCTCCCATGGGATAAAAGTCGCTTATGTGACTTCATAGGGGGGTAAGTAAAAGCGAAAGTATTTTTTGGGCTCTGACAAACTTTGATTCCTTTATTCTCAGCTATTTCCCCCCCATCCAATCTTCCTGAGTATTCCCTTCCCTCTCAAGGCTGTTCCTTGTCCCGGAGACACTTTGCAGCTGTTCAAGAGACAATTGCACATGACCCTTACTGGCGTGTGAGTGGGATGCGTGGGATGGAGGGGGCAGAGGAGAGAGTCAGGATAGGATTTGAACTTGTCACAGAGGGGAGGTATCTGACGTCACTGGCTAGGACATACAAATAGACAAGGACCAGGGCTCTCGCTCTTGTCAATTCACACCACTTACAAGATCTCCATCCATCCAGGGCCAAACTTCCAGACTCCCTGCATCACAAGCTAAAAGAGCAACCATGAGCCAGTCCTATTCAACCAGCCAGAGGGTGTCTTCCTACCGCCGTACCTTCGGTGGGGCATCACCAACATACACCAGGGCCTCCTATGGGTCTAAAGGAGGTGCCGCCAGCTCACACTCCTCTAGGGTCTACCAGGTTTCCCGTTCAGCAGCAGTCCCTACCCTATCCAGCTTCAGGGCATCACGGATTACCCCGGTACGGAGCTACGGCACAGATGTTCTCGACTTCAGCCTGGCCGATGCCATGAACCAAGAGTTCCTTCATACTCGCACCAATGAGAAGGTGGAGCTGCAGGAGCTGAACGACAGGTTTGCCAACTACATCGAAAAGGTACGCTACCTTGAGCAGCAGAATGGCATCCTGGTGACCGAGGTCAACCGGCTCAAGGGCAAGGAGCCGACCAGGATCAGCGACCTGTACGAGGAAGAGATGAGGGAGCTGAGGCACCAGGTGGACATCGTCACCAATCAAAGGTCCAGAGTGGAAGTAGAACGGGACAACTTGTTCGATGACCTGCAGAAACTGAAACAGAGGTGAGTGAGTGACAAAACAAAAGATGCACAAGCTTTAAAAAAGGTAGCGGAAGGGTGGGATGGACCGTAGGCGAAACTCTACATCTTTCGAAGTAAAAGGTAGTCAGGTGAGGAGGAAAGTACAACGCAAGGAGTAACTTAGGTGAAAAGTCATGTGACCATTACTATTCAAAAGCCAATAAATCTAGCTATAATAATCCATTTGGAGGTAACAAAGGGTTAAACTTACCCCTGGAATATTCTTAATAACCTCTGCTGTCATCCAAGCAGACACTGCGTCTTACAGTTCCCCCTCCCCTATAATCCATATCTCTGTGCTGGCCATATAAGGGGCTCACCCTTCCAGGAATGTGGGAGAGGATACTTCCACGTTGTCTTTGACTTCCTGTCCGTGACATGTCCCTGTAACTGGTGAATCTGGCCCTCCTAGGGCCCACCATGACTCTGTCACCCTCTGCACAGAGTTATGTCCTGCAATGTACTGCCAGGGTGACACTCCAATGTCTTCATCTACAGTTCCATAGATAACACTGAGGAGGAGTTTCATGTACATGGACTTGTTGCATACAGGGTGCCAAATCATTCAGAATTCCTTCTATATCCAGCGCAAGTTAGACAATTAATAACAAAGCTGATTGCTACAAGTAACAGTCTTCATAAATCATCTCTTTATAATATCCATCAGAAATTCGAGTTATATCATTGCTATTACTATTATATGATTAGTATTACTATATTATTTTACTGTACAGTACAATATATATATATATTTATTATTATTAGATCTAATCTATCTATCTATCTATCTATTTATCTATTATCATTTTATCTATCTATCTATTATCATTTTATCTATCTATCTATTATCATTTTATCTATCTATCTATTTATCTATTATCATTTTATCTATCTATCTATCTATTTACCTATTATCATTTTATCTATCTATTTATCTATTATCATTTTATCTATCTATCTATCTATTATCATTTTATCTATCTATCTATCTATCTATCTATCTATCTATCTATCTATCTATCTATCTATCTATCTATCGCATTCTGTCATCTAATGTACAGTTGCCATGTCTGACCTCCCTCCTGTGAAGCACATGTGCTATTGCCAATGGTCATAGCAGACTTACCATACCAAGTGCACCTGTTGCAATTGTTGGGATTCACAATGCAAGAGAGAGGTCCAGGTCACAGATAATGAGAAATGATTGGACCATTGCTACCAAACCATTGTATTCTGATTCCTGCATGTGGTTATTACATATAATGATATTATACATAGTTTTTCCCCTTGTTTCTTTGTTAATTGACATGCAGATTAAGCTCCCCAGACATACTGACATTGACGGGGACTTTGGGAAAGTTTAAGGCCATTTAGTTGCACTGACAGTGTTTTTAATGAAGATTCAAAATAATGATATAAAAGATAAGTGCTGCAAGGAAGCGCCCCCAGCAGTGTTGTAGTTTGTCCCAGCGCTAGTCATTGTCACTACTAGCAGACAGCTTGGCTTGCAAATGGGGAAAAAAAAAAGAAGAGTAAAATAATAAAAAAGGAATGTATATATTAAACATTGTAACTACATATAGTAACTGGGTACAGGTATCAGAATATTCTCTACGGTAATGGTCCTTGAAGCCAGGCCAGTCCAAGGTGGATGTTGTGGGTGCAGCACTCAGCTCCTTGTAATTGAATTGGCTTCTTATTAGCATTTACTAAGTGAAATCAGGAATCATTAGTAGACATGGTAGGGTGGCCACTTGTCTGCGGTTCACCTGGACAGTCCGGGTTTTGAATGCTGTGTCCGGGTTTCATGACAGCTAAAACCTGGACACAAGATATCAGGCAGACGGGCAACCACGGGGCTCTGGTGTTCCTGGTTGTAAACAGCCGCGCCTTACACAGGATGGGTCAGAAGGTCTCCTCATCACTAAGTATGCCTAAGTACTGTGACCTGATTTTTTATTTTCTCCCCCTCCCTCCCCTCCCCCC